AATAACCTGAAATCGAGGTGACCGAAGCCCCTAGTCAAAAAACCATGTGAAAGACTTGGAGAAATCAGCAACAGTAGGGAAGCAGCTGAAAATCCCCGAGCCTGGGCCCATGTACAAAATAGCTTCCACTTTTGCTGATACACATCCATGGAGGTAGGATGGATGAATTGGGTGAAATGAGAAGCTACACTAAGGGAGAAACCAGATCTCTTCACCAAGGACTGGACAAAAGCCAGGCATGAAGACAGAGAACATGAAATGCGGGATATAGAACTGGTGACTGGGGTTGATGAAGGAAATCAGGTAATAAGGGAAGTGGGCATAATTGTAAGTGGAGTAAACTAGGAAACCATGGTTGACCTGGCCAATAGAGAGTGATCAGATGGACCCAGCACAGATTGGCATGGATCAGGGAACTACCCAATGATGTAATCGGATAGGAGGATAAGCATATGGGAACTTGTGTGTCCAATCCTGGCTGAAGGCATATATAGCCAAAGCCCGAGTATGAGGAACCAGGACCAAAATAAGAGTAACTAATGATTGAGGGTGGTGGCAAAAGCATCGATAGACAGACTGCAAAGCCACCAGAAAACGAGAAGATGAAGAGACCACTCCATTGGGTAAACTTGGTTGGGGTAGGAAAGATGATTCACCATGAGGTTGAAAGCACCTAGGACATGACATGCAATTATATGAATGTGTTGTGTGTAGGCCCAATATAGGAGATCCAACATGCAAAAACAGAGGGATCTCAACTGGATGCTGCCTTCGTGATTAACATAAGCTTCCACTATAGAACTGTTAGAATGGAATGGGAAGAAAGTGATCCAAAGCCCGATGAAGGGCTAGGAGCTCTAGGAAATTGATATGTAACGATTGGTTGTCTAGAAACCAATGGCCTGAAGCCTCCTGGTGATCGACCCAAGCATCCCAGCCCTGAAGGGATACATCCATAAACAAATGTAAGTCTGGATGAGGAGGAAGAAGTGGGACATCCACCAATGTGTGAGTCTTGTTTGACCACCAAAGGAGATCGTCTACAAGGGAAGGAGAAAGGTGATGGGAGCATCCAAGGGATCCCAAGCAAGGTTCCATTGATCATGCTGAGTCCACTGAAGGGAATGCATTGCCAAGGGGGGGGGGATAATGATGTCATAGAAGACCACTTTCCCAAAAGCAACAGAACCTCATGTGCAGAAAGTGAGGTAACAGACAGGGCATGGCGAACTGACAATTCTATATAATGGAGTCTGAGAGGAAAAGGTTGGGCCTGACTGAGGTGAGTGTTGAAAAAGACACCCAAATGTACAAGGTATTGGGTAGGACTTAGGAAGGACTTCTATTTGATCAACCAGCCTATTCAAGCAGCTTTGAGAAGGAGCTGACGAATTTGACAGGCCAACTCTTGTTCAGAATGAGCCAGAAGTAGCCCGTTGTCCATGTAAAAAATAGAAATGCAGCCCCAGGGCATGAATATGAAGAGCAAAACCTCATATTACCCAACAGAAAATGTATGGAGCTGAAGCCAGCACAAAGGGTTGGGCATGAAATTGGTATACCACACCTCGATGGACAAACCAAAGATAAGGACGAGACCATTCCGAGATGAGAATATGTAGACAGGCATTGAAAATGTCCATCTTGGTCATCCATAGACCTGGAGATAAAGCCTACCAAAGATTGAAGTAGGACTCCTTGGTGGAATGTGGGAAGTGAACAAAGCATTTGAGGCAGAACAGATCAATTACAGGTCTTCATTCCCCAGTCTTTTTCGGAGCAACAAACAGATGGGAGTAAAATCCTGGTGAATGATGTGGAACAGGTTCTATAACCTTTTGAGGAGGCTCTGTAGAATCTCTGATGGATGCTGCAAATTCATTGGATTCCGAGGAGAAGGGAAGGAAACAGGTACCTGGGACAAGGGAGGTGGGGCAAGAAACGGAATTTCAAATCTCTCTGATAAAACCTCAGGAACCCAAACATCCGAGATAAAAGGGTGCCACTGATGAACTTAGGCTGCAAAGCAAGCTCCCACTATGTAGTCACCGGAACTGTTGGCGGTGTATCATGTGTCATCGAGAAAAATGGCGAGCCATGGCACCATGGGAAGGAGGGACAGGTAAGGATGGGAAACTGAAATAGGTGCTGCACTTGGCTCTGACTGAGATAAACAGGAAACTAGAAGGGAAATGGTAGGTTGTTGCTGGGCAGATGCCACCCATGACTCCAAGGATTCCAGAACCATATATCTTAAAAATGGAGCCACATGCAAATCCCGGCGATAAAGAGCAGGTAAACTGGTTTGAGATAGAATATTATCACGACTGAAAAGGTCCCAACAATAAAGATACCAATTTGTAAATCCAGAGCCAGAGATGATAAATGAGCCAACGAGGAGGTAAGGAGGGAGAGGGTGTCCCCAGAAAACCCCTCAGGATTTCTGTGAAGAGTCTCATATAGGAGATGGATCATGAGAAGGTACCACAAAAGGGTCATGAGGGTAAGATGAAGTGGGAAAATTGGGCATGGAAGAGACTAATAGGAGATTTGGGGCTCCCCAAATGGGTAAAACTGAATCCAACAGATGTTGGTATAGATATGGGTAGTCCACCCTACGAAATGCGAGGGCCGACTGATCCAAAGCCCATGGGGGACAAGGCATACTAATACCATTGCCCAACTGAGAGGCCAATTGGTCAGCATGAGCCCGAATGTCAAGGGATGGAGAAAACACCAAATAGGGTTGGGAAGTCCGTTCTTGAAATAACAAAGGACATGGGTCATAAGATATAGAAACAAGGGATAAAACATCACATACCTGAGAAATAAAATCTGAAAAAAAAACCTGGACAGCTAAACAGAATCCTCAGGGAGGGTATGGGAAGGCACAACAAATTCAGGAGGTGAAAACAGGTGATCAAAGACCAGTAAACTTGGCCAGGTTCCACGGGTTGAGGAGGAAGAGGGGCAATGTCTGAAGATAAAGGTTACCCCATATAACGTTCAATCTCCCTTCGATTAAACGTAGACAAATCTCCCATCGGATTGCCAGCACCTGAAGCCTGTGGTATAGTGCCTGTCAAAACTGTGACACCCAAGGTGGTGATGTTAAGTTTGGAATTCATGGTGATGTAGTTGACAGAAGTGTTTGAAATAAATAAGAAATATGACTAGAATAAGTGTAAGTGAATTGAAATAATGTAAAAAAACAACAAAAAACTGAATATTTTATGTTAAATTACACCACTTCGAGAAAATATGATCTCAAACACAAAAACCATAAGAAAAAAAGAAAGATGTCTGAGTCCAAGCACTGCCAAACAAAGAGTGATAGTTTGGTAGAGGTGCACAGAGGGAGTCACATGGGTCACATGAGTGTACTCTGCTCCTATTGGTGGATAGGTTACGCATGATGATTTGCATGAGAGATATGTTGGAATCATTTGATTCCAATAGGGGGTGCGGAAGGCTTGTGGCATGTGTAATAAAAATGTTTACATATAGAAGGCAGCAATAAACGGGAACAGCAAATCTTGTGAGAAGAGGGCAGTACCCTATTGGAGTATAACATTTGTAGTTTTTCCGAATTGGAGGCCCCCCCATGACTTTCCTCATGTCATCCTGTATCACTGTGTCAAATTTGGTGCTGATTGAGATATGGAAACATATAAGGTACACACATACTGATGTTTATTTATATAGATAAAAATAAAGGTACCAATACTGAAGAGAAAGACATACTGTTTTCAAAAATTCTAACAAGCAGTGACATACTTCATTCTAATGGTGAGGGATATACAACACTGATAGTTTTCCAAAATTAGATATGAAATTAGAAGGGGGGGGGGTCAACAGATTATAGCTCAGATACCTGTTTGTAACAAAGGATAGGAAATTATGCCTCTATTTTTTTATTAACATAAGAAACATTAAAAGTGCAACAAAAAATATATAAAGGTACTGACATTGAAAAGAAAGACATAGTTTGAAGAATTCTAACATTTGTAGTTTTTTCCAAATGGGGATCCACCCCCCACCCCCAAGACTTTCCTCGTGTCATCCTGTATCACTGTGTCAAATTTGGTGCTGTTTGATCAAGAAATGTGGAAACGAATAAGGAACATATACACACACACACATATTGACATTTATTCATATAAAAGATGGGGGATTCTAACCCACACTCCAGTCATGACCTTCCTCATATCATCCCATATCACTGTGTCAAGCTTAGTGCTGATTGATCAAAAAATGTGGAAATGTATAAGGAACAGATATGACATGATAGATATACAACCATGTTGTGTTTTCCCGAATATAAAACAATGCATAATCAATACCACTTTTCTTTTTTGCATTTGGCTAAAACCACTAATCCACATGTCCGTTTATTATTGAATCTACCATTTCTCATTCTTCTCGATGTCAGGTAACAAAAAAATTAACTTGTAAACCTTTTTAATTGAAACTTCACCTTAGGAAACCGGAGTTGATATGTTTTGAAAAGTTTTACTATAAAGTAAAACTGAAAACAGATCCTTATGACACATGTCCTAATTGAAATGATGCTGTCATCAGCAATGTACAGTGATGGAGAAAACTAACGAACATGATGAAAGATAACATACAATGAGGGATATCATATGTATGTAGCATAGCTCCAGAAAGTAGATCATGTTTACTTTATTTGATGAAGGATAAAATACATTGGGATATATCCCCTGTATAGCACAGCTATAGTAAGAATGTCATTTTCATTTTATTTGATAAATAATAAAATAAATTAGGGTATATAATGTATGTGCAGCATAGCTCCAGAAAGTATTTGCATATTTGTGACCTTAAATAGCATTATCACAAACATAGAAAGCATGCAAAATTAAATAAATATACCTATACTAGAAATACTACATTAGGTTTAAATTAATATTTAATCATAAAATCATTTCATTTATTTATAAATAAAAGGTTAATGTAGCTAATTATATATAACTGACCCGTTGTAAATGTCTGAGATACTTCTGTTGATGTTGGCTTTCCACATCTTTCTTGACATTCTGCAGCAGAGTTGAAATTGTTTCCATTTCCACCACAGCCACTGTAAGTAAACTTCTGGCATTCATTTTCTTCTGCATCATAGAACCACTGATCTCTGAATTCAAAACAGTTCCCAATCTGTTTTGGCAACAAACAAATGTCTCTTCCTAAAAATGTATAATACATTTTTTCTGATGTAAAATACTTAGCTGAGATACATAATATCATTTATCAAATGAAATTATATCAACTAAATTAAAATAAATGGTATTAACTATAATTTAATTTCACATTATGGTCAAACAAAACCCATAATTCAGACTTGCTTTTGCTTTGCCTTGTTCTGAAATTTGCAAAAAACTACTCAAGGTCTATCTGTACTAGCCATCCATAATCTAGTAGTAATAGACTAGAAAGAAGGCAACTAGTCAACACCACACCCACTGGCATATTATATTTTTCTTTTTGAGTTGTGTTGGAATGAGTTATAGATTTCAAGAAGTTTATATTTCACATTGTTTTAAATTCTGATCACTCTGTATGTTTTTTGGCTATCATTCTACTTTGAAGTGATTTTTATTATTTTATTGTATTTAAGTGATCTAAGGGGGAATTCATTTTTGTTTTTGATGTATACTTTCTATGCAATGTTTGATTTATCTATTTTAGTAGTAAATTAACAAAGAATATTTATTATAGAAAACATATTACATGTTTGAACAGTACCTTGGTCTATTTTCTTTGGGTATGACATAAACCAAGCTAGCTTATAAAGTTTATGTGCAAAGACAATTGCTGATAAAAATATTACAGAGAATGGGTCAAAACTCTACTAAATGATGGATCATATAATTAACTCAAAGGAGACTTTACCATAAAAGTTCTTTCTAACACTAAAAACTGATTAAAGAATGTCTTATTCCAACTACAAAATAAAATGTTTCTCTTACACACACACACTCATTGTCATTCTCTCCATTTTTATGTACTTTCATGAACATAAAATTCTTTACAGACCTGCTTAATAACCAAAGCACTTTTGTAAAATGGACGTTTGCTTCATCATAAATTTAACATTGGCTCAGTGGTATAACCAATCACTAAATGCATAGCTAAGAAACCAAAATATTTATTATAGAGTACTTCTCTTCTCAGAAGCTCTCTAAATGATTAAAATTAAAACCTTTGAGTTGAATCAAGAGGATATTTTGGTATATTTCAACATAAAATCCCTCTTTATTTCAATACCTATTGAATAAGAACTACTGTGCTTGAGAACTAAGCCATAACAAACAAATCTCTTTTCTATTTATATATTTCACCTGCTCTTAACCTTACAAAATGTTGTGTAAATAATATTTATTTTACCTATGATGGTAAATAAAACAGTGGCTTAGCTAAGGGATGTTTTCTTTATACTCTACTTGGTGACATCTACATGTCATTTTTCAAAGAATGTTTTGGTAGTTAACATTTTCCGACACTGAAAAGTTATTTCCAATAGATACTTGCCTCTTCTCACATAATAGCTTTCCTGATTCAGTGCTGCATTCTATATGCACAGTTTTTCCTTGCCACTAGTCTCAAAACTCCCACCTAAGATCACACATTTCTACATGATATTGCTATGCTGTTGCATGCAAATGAGCATGCGACAACACTCCAGCAATAGAAGTTCAACACACCTTCCTAGTGTAACTGGCTACTTCTATACTGATTGTTCAGTCCTCACTTTCAGATTAGGCAAGAAGAGGTGCATCAGAAGTGGGGAAGGTGAGTGGAAAGTATGAGAAGAGGTAAGTATCTATCAGAAATACATTTTTAGTGTGTCGGAAAATATGATACCTTACCTCTTCTTACGTAAAAGCTAGAAACCCACAATGAAATGGTGGTAGGACTGGTGCAAAAGTTACCTAGATGATCACCCTTCAGAAAGTGCCCAAAGGGATAACATGAAGTGTGACACCCTATATCATGGAAATGAATAGGGGCACACCTGTGGGAAATTGCACCTTGTCTGGACCAGGGTACATTTGTCGCTCATATTAAAGATATGTGTCACTAATTCAGGCAGAAAACAAGCAGAGTCTAGAATCTGATTACAGATCATATATGTTCCAAATGGTGTAGTGTGGCTAGGGTGCATCAGACTGTGCATGATGAGCCAACTCCAGTCAAAATCCAGGTGGTATCGACCATGTGTCATCAAGTCCATAGTAGGATGTGAGCAACAGGTCATCTCCTCTCCAAAACCATGCAACATTAAGTATTTTTCATCTGGTCTGCACTAGGAGGAGGGTTCCTACCAACCACATAAATGAGGGCTTATGTTGGCTGGTCCTGCACCTATCCAACATAAGACTGCCAGGAACTGACATACAGGCAATGGTGGGATGGGGAAAAGCCAAACAGAGAGGTGAACAGTACATTGTGGGTCCAAAACCGGGCAGTACCATGAATGTTCCATGGTAGGATGAGAATCCACACCATCTACATCAACAGAACACCAGTGCTCTACTCTCTACTGAGTGGAATTTGTCACATGCAGGAGGAATCCTCCATGGTCCACCACCCCAGCATCAAGAAACTGTTAAGAGGCAAGGACTCCCATACTCCATTTGAAGAAAAAAAAGGGGGAGTAAAACGTGTTAGGGAGCCCAGAGGAGTGCATCACCTTAAGACAATGAAATGGGTTACCACCAAAATCCTGTATTGAAAAACATGCCAGTTCCAGTTTATTCAACTAGGACTGGAGGGCTGGGCAGCTATCCCGATACTGCTTTACTTATATTAGTTCCTAAGTAGGTATAATCTGGATTGGGCCTTGTTTAGTAAATTATATATGCCATAATGCTACCTCTAGCAGTCTTGTGGAACACCTCATCTCATCAGTGAGTGTTATCAGTCAGAGCCAGTAATGTGTATGTGGAACAGTGACAGAAGGTAGCCTACTAAAACTTAATGAAGAAGAAACAGCTAGATGACACAGATAATGGGTGATGAAAGTATGCAGTGCTGTCCACATTCAAGCCTGCACAATCTTCTCCAATAAACTATGGAATTGAGCAGCCACTGAGAGAGTAAGGTGTTGGATTTGATGAGAGGTTACTTGGAAGCAAAGACGAGAATATTTATCTAATAAAGCATAGGCTAAAAGGATGAGTTGATGGAGCCATCTCATGAGAGTAATGAGAGAATCATCTTGGGTAGAGGAGGAATTCCAAGGAATAAATAGATTGGAACATAAACCTCAAAAAGGGGCCATGTGGGTCAAATAACACTGAACCACATGGACAGGATGGAGAAGGCAATCAGCATCAGCTCGAGAAAAAAGGTGAAAAATGGATGGAAGGGAAAGAGGAGTGAATGTGTTTTCACCTTCACAAACTACAGATGTGTCAGGTAGAAAAGTATGATCAGGATAAAAAAAAAGAATATAAAAATGATGGAAAAGAATATGAGAGGAAGTAGTGGCATTTACACCAGAGCGTCTGGCAAAAATGAGCAATAAATATATTTTAAGTGAAAGATGTTAGAAGAAACAAGAAGCTAAAGACTCAGGGGGGTAAGGGCATGGAGAATTACATTCAAGTCTCAATTAGGAAGAACAGCAGAATGGGGAGGATGAAGGGGTTGAAAAGAATGGAGGAGCATAGAAAGGGTAGGAGAGGAGAATACATAATGGTATTGGGAAAACTTGAAAGTATTAGATAGTGCTGCCTTGTAGCCAGCAATGGTCAAAATTGATAAACTTTGGTCAATTGGCCTTGTAAAAAAAATCTGAAAAGTTTGGAGACAGAAGGATGGAAAGGGGATAAAGAATGGTGTCATGACCAACTCCAGAAAATGAACCATTATCTTTGATAGACAAGGAGAGAGGAAGGACAAACAGAACGAGAAAGGAGGAATACTACACATGAAGAGAGTTCAAAACATCTTGCAAGGGACCAGACAAAGCCTATGCATAAAGTCAGAGGGATGACACTGTTGGATCTGAGAGATAGGAATGAGGCTGATAGAGGTAGAGAAAGAGAGGATCAGAGAAGTTTCAATAGAGGAAATCATGGTTGAGCTAGTCAATATGGAGTTATCAGGAGAATTTGACATAGAACGTCCAGAATGAGGGAAATAACATGAAGGAGAATATGAATAGGAGAGTAGACATAGAAAAATAGATTGGACCAGGCCAGACTGAAAGCATCCACAGCAAGAGATGATCGATGAGGAACTGGGGACCAGAAAAGGAAAGTTTGGTATTGAAATGAGTGGCAAATGCATCTATAAGAGGAGTGCCTAGATGAGAGCACAGCCACTTGAATACCAGAGGATCAAGAGACGACTCCATAGGTAATACCTTGTCAGGCCTTAAGAGATGATCCATAAAAGGTTCAGGGCACTTGGAATATGACAAGCCATTAGTCATACACGTAAAGAATGGGCCCAAAAACAGAAACAATGAGACCAAATGATTCCCTGACGACTGATATAGGAACCATCATACAAAAATGATACACTGCTTGATGTACTACAAAATGTCTAAGAGATTGATATGAAGAGACAAGTAGTTGTGGGGGGCCATCGATCTGAAATCTCTTGAGAGTCGAGATATGCCCTGTCCTGTCAAGGATGCATCTGGAGACAGATGAAGACCCAGATGAAAGGGAAGAAGAGGAACCTCCTCTGTGGTATTGGTTATATCAAGTTATCAAGTGAAGTTTTTGAGTAAGAAAGGAGAATGGTGGAGGACAAGGGATCCCAAGCGAGGTTCCATTAATCGTGCAGATTCTATTGTAGACATCACATATGAGCATGTCACAAGGAGATAAAGGATTCCATGGAAGCCCAAGTCCCCAAAGAAAAGAGAACTTGTCACACAGTGAAAGAAGGAAAAGATATGGCATAGGAAACTAATTATTCCATGTCCCTCAAATGAAGAGGAGAAAGCTGGGCCCTGCAGAGATGTGAATTGAAAAACATCCAAATGAAGGAGATACTGAGTGAGTGTGAGATGCAACTTCTCCAATTTAACCAATTAGTCCAGATGCACCACCTCCCAAAAGAGAAGAAGAGGACTGTAGAAGGCATGTGGCGATGGAGCTAAATATAAAAATAAGCATCTGAGATATCTACCTCTGTCATACAAAGACCTGTAGCAAAAGTCATGGTA